CCAGATCAAACAACCAGTAAGTGGCAAAGCCAGGGTTTGTCCCAAAGCTGCTTCTGTGCCTAAAATCTCTGTGCCTAATGTCACAATCATAACAGAGTTTGCTTCATGTCATTTCTCATCATCTGTTTATCTGTATTTATTTATTTATATTTAATGATTTTTAATATATTTATCCCATGCTGGCCTTCAACTCTGACATGCTCCTGTCTCCACTTCCCAGGTGCTTGAGGTATAAACACAGGCACTGGACCTGATTATTTATTTTTGTGTTACGTGTTTGGATGGGGGTTGAGGGAGCATATGTTCACGTATGTAGAGACCAAAGGTCAACATAAAGCGTCTTCCTCAGTTGTTTGTTTGTTTTTTTGTTTTGAGATGGGGTTTCTCGGTAAACTTGGAACTTATCATTTTGGTTTGATTGTTTGGCCAGCAAACTTCAAGGATCCTCCTCTGTCTGCCTCTCCAGTGATTGGATGACAGGTGTCTGTCACTCTGCCCAGCTTTCTAAGTGGATGTTAGGGGTCTAAACTCAGGTCTTTGTTTATTTGGTAAGCATTTTTACCCACTGAGCTCTATATCCCCAGCCCAACCTCCTCTGTGTGTGTGTGTGTGTGTGTGTGTGTGTGTGTATGTGCGTGTGTGTATGTATGTGTGTGTGTATGTGTGTATGTGTGTGTGTAAGTGTGTGTATGTGTGTGTGTATATGTGTATGTGTGTGTATGTGTGTGTGTTATGAATATCTGAGTGTGCATATGCAGAGGACAATTGTGGGTTTTTTGCTGTGTCGTTCTTTGTCTTTTTTTTTTTAACTTTATGATTTCTTTTTCTCTTTTGGATTTCACATTATGTACCCTAACCCACTCATTTCCTGTCTCTTCATATCTGCCCTTTAAACCCCCCTCAATAAAAGGGGGGAAATCTTGTCACAGAAGCTGTAATGTGCCACAGTGAGTCACACAGCATACCCTTTAATGCATACATCTTTATTTGCAAATATTCATTGCAGTGAGTCATTGGTCTGGTTCGAGGCTTCTGCTCTCCTATCAGTACTGGATTCTCACTGTAACTTCTCTTGGATGTCTTGTTGTCCTGTGTCACGGAGATCCTGCAGCTTTGGATCAGCAGGACTGACGCTTTTCTGTGCTCATGCAGTTCACAGATGGGGTGGATGCCGGGGTGGGCTAACTCAGGGCTCTGGATCCGGTCTGGATGGTGGCTGAGTCGGTCAGCCTGCAGCTCTCCTGAATCCTCAGCCATGACCAGACAGGCACAGGGTGCCTGGTCTCGAACTTTCTGGTGTACCTGTGCCCTCTGTGGACCCAGCCAAGCCACTGTGTTGTTTAAGCACTTCCCCAGGCCCTGGATCTGTTTCCTGATGATCCCAGGCGTGCTGCCTGCAGGATGGGAGTACCAGGCTGGAGAGGCTCCCCAGTGCTCACTCTGGAGATCAAGCCTGGCAAGGCAGGCCTCTGCAGCCTCCAGCACCATCTTGATTCTCTCATTTATCATATGTCTTTGAGACAAAGTCCTTAACTGAATTGAGTTAAATTGGTAGACTGCAAACCCCCTAATCCTTCACACCCGAAAGTTTTGGGATTTTAGACCCCAGTGTGGCCACACTCTGCTTTTTATGTGAGTGCTAGGGATTCGTACTTAGGCCCTCAGTGCTTGTGCAATAGGTACTCTTAGCCCACTGAGCCACCTCATCAGCTGTCTGTCTGTCTGTCTGTCTGTCTGTCTGTCTGTCTACTTGCCATCTATGTATCTGTGTATATCTATGTATCTTATCTATCCTCTATCTACTTATTATCTATCTCTCTCATCTATGTATGAATGTATCTGTCTGTCTACTTATCTATCATCTATCTATATCATCTATTTATATATCTATCAATCATCTATCGATGTATCTATGTATCATCTGTCTAATGTATGTATGTATATGTATGTATCTGTCTACTTATCTATCATCTATCTATATCTATCATCTATGTATCTATCAATCATCTATCGATGTATCTGTGTATCATCTGTCTAATGTGTCTATCTATCTATCTAGTGTGCATTTATATTTTTGCCTGCATGTATGTCTGTGTGAGGTTGTTGAACCCTCTGAAACTGGAGTTACAGACAGTTGTGATCTGCCATATGGGTGCTGGGAATTGAACTTGGGTCCTCTGGAAGGGCAGTTAGTGCTCCCCAGCCCCCTCCCTTGTAATGTTAAATAACATTTTCTCAGGGCTGGAGAAAGGGCTCAGTGGTTAAGAGTGCTCATTGCTTCCAAAAACTAACTTCAATCCTAGTTTCTGGCCTCCATGGACATTGCATACACATTGTTCATGTGGTGCACTTAACATACATGCAGGCAAAAAACCACTCATACACATAAAATAAAAATAATTAAAAATCTTTCTAATTATAGACATTTTAATTTATCATTAAAAATGGGGCCGGGCGGTGGTGGCGCACGCCTTTAATCCCAGCACTCGGGAGGCAGAGGCAGGCGGATCTCTGTGAGTTCGAGGCCAGGCTGGACCGATAGCCTCCAAAACAATACAGAGAAACCCTGTCTCGTAAAACCAAAAAAAAAAAAATAATAATAAAAATGGGAAATACAGTCTTAGATTCTTTTCTCCAGATACAGTGACTATAAAATTCAAAATTAAATACTATGCATAAATCCTTTCATTATGCTTTATAATTAATATGTGTGTGACTTACTAAGAAATAACAATTTGTGAAAGCCTGTTACTAAGGGAGCATGTGTTAGAGATGCCTTTTATACTGTGCTCCTTGATAGATGGTTGTTTACAAATAAATTTTGCTTCCTGTTAGTGGACTAGACGATTCAGGTGCTCCTCTTTGAGCAGAGTTCCAAAGAGTTGTATTCTCTAGTTAACTATTGCAGATCTTCATCCAGCAAATGCTTATAAAGCAAGCATCTGTCCCTCCTCTTTTAATAAAACTCTGTGTGAGGCTGAGAATAAAGTCAAAATTAAGCCACAATCAGGAATGAAGTGAACATTTAAAAAATGTCTTTAAGCTGGGCGGTGGTGGCGCACGCCTTTAATCCCAGCACTCGGGAGGCAGAGGCAGGCGGATCTCTGTGAGTTCGAGGCCGGGCTGGACTGACAGCCTCCAAAAGAATACAGAGAAACCCTGTCTCGTAAAACCAAAAAAAAAAAAAAAAAAAAAAAAGTCTTTATTAGACTTTTTAGGATGTGAAGTATTGTGACATATGACAAATGTAGATTAAGTATTTTGTATGAAATCAGGCTTGGGGCTCTGTAGCTCAGTTGGTAAAGTGATAGTCGATGATGCAAGAGTCCTGAGTTAGACTCTGAGCACAACGTAAGGTAGATGATGCAGCTGTCACCCTAGCATTCTTAGGACCAGGACATTAAAGGCCATTCTTAGCTACCTAAGTACAAGGCCAGCCTAAGCTATATATATTCCCTATAGATGGTTGAGAGTCACCATGTGGTTGCTGGGAATTGAACTCAGTCCTCTGGAAGAGCAGTCAGTGCTCTTAGCCACTGAGCCATCTCTCCAGCCCCCAGAAATTCAGGTTTGAAATAACACAAAGTTTTATTTTTTTTTTAATAGAGTGAAGGTTAGAGGAAAATCTGAATGAAGGCGTTCAAATGGTTTACGGATATACAGATAAACTCTTACAAAGCACTAAAAATAATTTTAGGTATTTACCTTAGGGTGTCAATTTTGTATAATTTTGGAACATTATACAAGCATGGTAAGTGCTTTATAAATACTTCTTTATAGTCAAGTTCAAAGTTTTAAGAAAGTTTAAGGACAAATAGGTAAGATTCTTCTTTTGAGATGGTGTTTCACGTAGCCCAGGCTGGCCTCAAACTTGCTGTAGTTAGTAGGACCTCAAGCTTCTAATCCCCTGCTTCAGTCTCACGCCTGTTACAACCATGTGCCACACATGGTTTACGTGGTTCTAGAGACTGAACTCGGGGCTTCGTGAATGTTAGACGTCACTCTACCCTAGCCCATCCCTAGCCCAGTGAGGTCTCTCCCCCCCCTCCTCCTCCCCTTGCCTCTTAGGTTTGTATGTCTGTGTGTAGGTATATGTACACGAGTGTGGTGCCTTTAGAAGAAGGTCTGCTGCGATTCCCTGGAGCTGGAGTCACAGGGCAGCTGTCAGCTGCTGGACGTGGCTGTGGAGAATTGGACTTGAGTCTTCTTCAAGAGCAGTGTGTGCTCTTGACTACTGGGCCATCTATAGAGCTGCCAGTTGTACCAGTCTGTGCCCACTAGGATGTTATAGTGGGTGTGGCGCGTGGGGCGAGGCGGGGGAGGGGGAGTAGCAACATGGGAATCATTGTACAGTACAGTGTATTAAGTGGTATAGTACATTACTGTTTCTTCAGTGAATATATATTCATACAGTGGAGTATTAAACTGTAGGAGTAAAGTACTGATACATGGTATAACTAATGAACTTTGAAAACATACTAAATAAAAGCAAGACCAAAAGAATTACTGATTCTATTTAAATCAAATATTCAGAGTACAGAGAGGAAATGAGGAACTGCTAATACCTTAGAGTTGAGTTGAGGTGGGGAGTGACTGACTGTTCAATGGCTACAGTTTCTGTTTAGAGTGGTGAAAGTAATCTGGAACTAGATAATGGTGTTGTTGATACAACATGGGAATGCTGTTCACATTACTGAATTCAGCACTTCATATGGTTTGCATGGGAAATTTGAAAATTTGAGACCACCCCCACAATGTAAGTGTAAAGCTGTTTTCATTTGCATCCAGTCCTGTCTGTTATTGGAATTGGAGTTTTATCCAGGTCAGTGTTTCTTAAAGTGTATGAGTTTTTAGGCTCTATGGATACTATCCATTTTGGTAAAGATAAGTAAAAATGAGCAGATTTAAACAAAAATATGCAGGAAATAATCACACAGAAATGAAGCAGATAAAAAGTCACAATGTATTAAAGTGAAGTTTGTTTTTTTCTAATACCTTAGCAAAAACCGACCCTAAAAATGAGGAAGAAGAGAAGCGGCGAATCGAGGCTCGGCGAGAGAAGCAAAGACGCAGGCGAGAGAAAAACAGCGAGAAATACGGAGATGGATACAGGTTTGTGCTCACAAAGTCAAGATGAGGCTGGGCGAAAGACGGTTTCCAGGCTGCGAGCCACCAACAGAAAAAACTGGCTAAAGAAGCAAAGGGACAGGGCTAGGAGAGTAGCACAGTTGGTTGAGGGTTTGCTTGTGACACACACAACCCTGTCGGAACTACTCAGTACTTAGTAACGCACAAACCAGGCAGGGATGCTGGCACATGCCTACAGGTTACCAGGGATGCTGGCACATGCCTACAGGTTACCAGGGATGCTGGCACATGCCTACAGGCTTAGTAATGCACAAACCAGGAAGGGATGCTGGTACATGTCTACAGGTTACCAGGGATGCTGGCACATGCCTACAGGCTTAGTAATGCACAAACCAGGGATGCTGGCACATAAAGTGTCATGATGTGGGGTGGGGAGTAAGGGAAGTGTGAGGACCAGCATTAGGATCCCCATCACCCGGAGGAAGGTGGTGTGGCTGTGCATTTGTCAGGAGTCAGAGAGAACGGTTGCTGAGGCTTGCTGGCTGTCACCTTAGTTCAGTACTCAGGAGAGATCCTGTTTCTAGGAAATAGGACATTTCTCTCTGACCTGTTCATGAACCCACAGGTACACACATGTATAAGGTCCTAATGAAGCACACTGATAAAGTGCTAACATGACACCCAGACCTGAAAAAACATGGTAATAGGCATTACTAGCCTGTGAACAGACTGCATTTATATGAGTGTGAGTTTCATTTATGTGTATGTGTGGGTGGGTACCCAAGGGAACCAGAAGAGGCCAGTTTAATTTTGAAGGTTTGTTGGATTTTTGTCAGTTTCTCTGCATTTAATTTTTGCCTTTAAGTTCATTCATGTGACTTAGTACATCTACTGACTTGTGTATATTGAACCAACCCTGCATTTGTTTCAGGGATAATGCCACCTTGGTCATGGGTGGATAATCTTTCTAATGTAGGTCTGCATTCTATTTGCAGATACCTTATTGAGTATTTTTGAGTGTATGTTTACCAGGGATATTAGCTTGTAGTTTATTTTATTTTATTTTTTGAAGGAGGTGGGGTGCTGTCTTTATGGTTTTACTCTCAGAGTGACACTTAGTAGGAGTTTTGACTGCTCCTTCTGTTTCTGTTCTTTTGAATTGGGTTAAAGAATTCTTTGTTGAATGTTTTTTGTTGAAGAATGATTTGCTGTAGTATTTGTAGAATTCTGCTGTGATTGATTATTTGCGTGTTTCTTTTTTATTCTTTGTTTTTTTTAACTTTTGTTTTAGCTGGAAAGCTCTTTTTACTATTTCATTTCTCATTTGGTATGAGTCCATTTAGGTTACTGACTTCTTGGCTTAATATTGGTGGTCTGGCAGAATGTAGAAATTCATCCATGTGTTTTAGGTTTCCCAGGTTAGTGGAGTATGTGTTTTAGAAATATTCCCTTGCAATATTCTGAGTTTCTTTGGTGTCTGTTGTAATATTTCCTTGATAGTTCTGATTTTGTTAATTTGTCCTCTTTTCTTTTTCTTTTGGTTGGTTGAGCCATGGGTTTGTCAATCTTGGATATCTTCTTAAATAGACTAGATTTAGTGATTCTTTGTACTTTTTGTTTCTATTTCATTGATTTCATCTTTCATTTTTATTATTTCTTGCTGCTGATTGGCTTTGGATTTGGTTTGTTCTTTTTTCCAAATTTCTTGACTTGCATTATTCTTATTAGATACTTAGACTTATAAATTTCCTTCATAGGACTGCTTTCAGTGTATCCTGGAGGTTTTTACTGTGTTTTCATTTTTATTTAACTCCAGGAAAATTTTTTATTTCTTCCATGATTTCTCCTTTCTCTTGTCTTCAGAAATGGATACTTGCTGTCAGCTTCATATTTTATTGCATGGTGGTCAAACAGGATATAAGGAGTGATTTCAGTACTTTTGAATTTGTAAATATTTGTTTCTCAGGTTATGCTCTATTTTTACCAAAGTTTCAGTGTGCTTCTGGGTAGAATGTATATTCTTTGATGTTTGGGTTGAGTATTCTGTGTATCTGTTAAGTCCTTTTGATGTATGATGTTAATTAAATCTGATGTTTCTCTATTTTCTTGTTTGAGATGACCTGTTTATTGGGAAAAAATGGGGTATTGAAATTCCCGTGTGTGTGTGTGTGTGTGTGTGTGTGTGTGTGTGTGTGTGTGTGTGTGTGTGTGTGTTTGTTTGTTTGTTTGTTTTGAGACAGGGTTTCTCTGGAGCCCTGGCTGTCCTGGCACTCACTCTGTAGACCAGGCTGTGCCCGTTCTTCTCTTCAGCTCAAATTAGTGCTTCCTGTGTTTTCCTTAGGTTTGGTCATGTTTTATGCTGTGTATACTGTGGAAAGTTTTTCTTCCTCCTTCAATCATGATGGAGAGTTTTGCTGGGTATATTAGTCTGGGCTGGCTGACATAGTCTTTTAGGACTTGAAATGTATTGCTTCGGGCTTATTTCATAGTTTCCTTTGAGAAACCAGCTGGTTTCTACAGGTTTTCCTTTATATGTGACTTGTATTTTTTCTCTTGTAGCTTTCAATTCACTTTCCTTGTGATCTATATATTCCAATAGGGAATTTCTTTTCTGGTCTAGTCTGTTTGGTGTTCTGTGTACTTCTTGTATTTGTATGGGTGTGTCTTTCCTAGTATGGGAAAGTTTTTCTTTTATAATCTTTTTGATTATTTGGTCAATGCCATTTGACTTGGGATTCATCTGCCTTTCCTGTGTCTATAATTTAAGGTTTGACTATTTCATGGCATTCCACTTTTTCTGTGGTTTTGTTTTTGTTTTTGTTTATTTGGTTCAGGTCCTCTACTTTATATCCTTATCTTCTGTTTGATTCTTTCCACGTGTAAAGTTTCCCTTTGAGATCTAGTTGTGCTATTGGAGATTTCATTTCCATATTCATTTTACCTTGGGTCTTCTTTATTGTGTCTTTTTCCTTGTCGAATCCCATTCTCAAGTCTGGATTGCCATCATCATCCCTTCAGCCTTGTCTGTGCTTTCTTGGGCAACACTGAGGATTTGTTTTCCTTAAATTCTGTTTCTTTAATTTCAGTGAGATGTTTCTTTGTGTCTCCTTTAAACTTCTAGAATTCCTTGATGAAGTTTATGGTTGTTCTTTTCAATTCTGTGTCCTGGCGTTCATCTAGGCGTGTATTTTTGCAATGAGATGTGGGCACGTGGACTTCTTTTGTCAGTTGTAAGTCTGATACGGAGAGAACAGGTTGGGGCAGGAGAGGATGTGCCGATGGATTGCCTGGACATAAAGGCTGGAAACCGAGTGGCACGAAGGGAGGTGCACTGGGATCAGGGTGGGTTTTGCAAAGGTTGGAGGTGGCATGGAGGAGCCTGTGGAATGACAGGTAGGTAGGGAGTGTTCTGGCAAAAAAAGGCCAGGGAGACTCGCTGGAGCAGACTCTGGAGGACGGGGGGTGGGGGGGGGGCGGGGGGTGTCTGACTGGGTGGTGCAGTTATAGTTTTAGCAGGACCCTTGTTTTTTGTCTTTGTCCCTCCCCTACTTATCTCTTTAAATCCCGATTGGCATAGACAATAGATTTGTTAATGTATTGTGGGAATGAATAAATATATAGGAGTCTAAATATGACTGTGCATTGTAAGGTTAACATTTATATTTAATTATTCTATGAGTACTTTTTTCATTAAAATCTGAAAATACATTTGAATGTGATAACTGTGTTAATAGAACAAACATTGCAATTTGCATTTTTCCGTATAACATTACAATTTTAGTTGAATTATCATTTTATAGACTATGGATCTTTAAAATACCCTACAGTATCTTAGGCTTAAAGAAAAGTACTGATGGTTAAACCAGGACCTAATACATGTTAAAGAAATGCACTACCAGTGAATTGCCTCTGCAGTCATGTGTAGTTTTTTATCAGAGCAGTTTTAGTAGTTTTCCTTTGTTAGGAAGATTTGGGATGGTCTTGTTATTTAAATGCTCTCAATATGATAAAGGTGAGGGGCGTATGTAAGAAGTACTCACATGCAGCTAGAAGAGAAATACAACTTCTAGATCAGAGTGGCAGTAAATTCCAGGAGGCAACACGATGGAGGTGTGTTTGAACTGCTCTAAGAATGGTAGAATTGCAAGAATTGTGTGAAGCAGTCCAGGTAGATCACGTGTTCTAAGGTAAAAGCAAAGAAGTACGTGTTTATTTCAAACGTTGAAAACTGGATTGAAAAGAATTAATGATTTAAAAGTGTAACATATTTAAAACATTTAATAAAGACACAGTGTGTGCTATGTATTGTCAAAAGAGATGAGTGGGCATTGATAAATAGAGAGTAGATTAGGGAGCGTTCTGGAGAGCAGCTGAAGGCATCTTTGAGTGCTAGGGAGTCAGGGAGGCGTTTAAGCAGTGATGTTTTAACACCTGCTGTAGGAAGCAATGCTAAGTAACTGAATGACTCTGTCAGGAGCCTCTGTGGACACTGCAGAAGCCAGAGAACTAGATAACTTGTCCAAGATCACAAATGGAGATATGGTATAAATTGGGCAGTTAACTCCTAAGTTAATTCAGCAAATAAGTCTAATAGCAGTATGAAAAGATCCTTGGAAAATGGAAACTGAGTCAGAACCCATTTAGGAGACTGTTGTCATCATTTAAGGAAAATAGCAGCATACATAGAAAGTAAGAAAGTTATAGAGGAATTAATTCTGGGTGGATTTTCATCTTCTAAATAAGATATATTTGTGCAGTCTGGGCCTGTCAGTCATCCTGGCTGTTGTTGGAGGACCGACCATCCCCAGAGCTCCATGGGATTGGATAATTGTTTTGTGTCTGCCTGACTTTGCTGACGGTTTAGATACTCGAGGATGGGCCAGAGTGTAAAATTTGTTGTGGGGTTTTGGAACTTGATGCTTCTTTATATTAACTTTAGCTTTTGAATGGCGGAGGCTTGAGGTCATCACCTTATTAGTCCTTTTCATACCCAGAGGCTTAAAATGCAAAGGACTTTAATGACTATACTTCCATAGTCATTAAAAAATATCTTTTCTCTTCCTTAATTTCAGAGTTCCAAAAAGAAATTTATTTCAGCTAGTAAAATTAGTTTTAGATGATCTAAATAAATAAGGTAATATTTAAGAAGATGTCTTTTCTTTGTAGAATGGCATTCACATGTTCATTTTGTAAGTTTCGAACCTTTGAAGAGAAAGACATTGAACTGCATCTGGAAAGCCCTTCACACCAGGAAACGTTAGATCACATTCAGAAGCAAACCAAATTTGACAAAGTAGTTATGGAGTTTTTACATGTAAGTAGGTATTTTTGAAATGAGAAGCATTTTATTTGATCTGAATTTATTTCACTTTTTACAATTTCTCTCATCGTTTTATGTTTCTAAAAGTTTAATAACTGCTCATTTAGGAAAGTTGTTAAATTAATTAGATATTAATTCTATATTAGAATTTGTAGTGTGAGGAATCACTTTTCATAGTCATTTCTGAGAAAGTTGTCAGAAAAAAGAGTTCTTTTAGTCATTGTGTGTTGATTTGGATTCATCTGTCAGCCCTGTAGAATCCATTGTGCCTGAAAGTATGATCAGTACATTAATTCTTCATTTCAGATGAGCCTCTGTAATTCTTTTTTTTTTTCCAAGTAATGATTGGAAAATCATGTCCATAGAAGTTAAATGAATTTGTTACCAGGTAGCAGAGTCAGAAGGCTGAGCCAGGGAGATAGGCGATTGTCTGGTGTCTTTGTATTTTCCTTGTGTGATTGTCAGTTTAATAGATTATTTTGAAGAGCACAAGCATTACTGTTAATGAGCCAACTATAATTGAAAACAAAAACGTTCACAGGTACACAAGATAGTCTGTTTGGGTGGAAATGCGGAGAATGCAGAGATACTCTGGGGACTTGGAAGAGTGGCTGAGCTGGACTACTGAATTGATTTGGGCAGGTAGAGGGTTAGCAGGGCAGGGTTCACTCAGACCTTTGTCCCTAGCAGAATTGTGTCCTTACTAAAATTGGTTCCTGTTACTTTCCTGTACCGGGGTCCTCTCTTGTCATTTATGATTCACCCGCTTAATTAGAAGGGTGCTGTCCAGCTTCTAATCTTTATCCAGATGCCCGTAAGCAGTTTCCAGTGTTTCATGATAGTCTCTTCAAGCAAACTGTGGGTTTCTTGTGAAAGGAGATTAATTCAGTTTAGTGTGGTGCTGAGCATGTGGTAGATGCTCCTTGGAAACAGTTTGTATTCTTTCTGTTTATTTTCTAGGAATGTATGGTGAATAAGTTTAAAAAAGCATCTATTCGTAAGCAACAGACACTTAATCACCCAGAAGCTTACAAAATAATTGAAAAAGATGTTATGGAAGGTGAGTATTTATCAAGTTGTTTTATAAATTTACATTTGTACTTTTATATCATAACCTGAGACTTTGAGACTGATGCAGGTCGCAGTTGTACTTGCTGTAGCTCTGATGGCTTGTCAGGGCAGACTCGCTAACTTCTTGTTTTCATGCTTACAAGTTTATTGTTGCCGAGTTACCTCTTTTTCTTCAGTATAGAGTAGCAATTCTCAACTTGTGGGTTCCTGCCCCTTTGGCACACTTCTGTCTCCAAAAATATTTGCATTACAGTTCATAATAGTAGCAAAATTACAGTCGTGAAGTAGCAATAAAATACTTTTATGAGTGGGGGGTCACCACAACATGAGGAACTATAAAGGGTCACAGTGTTAGGAAACACTGGTCTAGAGGAAAAGTCCTTCCTCATGTTGTGGTGACCCCCCCCAACCATAAAATAATTCTATTGCTACTTTCTTACTGTAATTGTGCTACACTTACAAATAGTGATATAGGAAACTCCAAAGGGGTCAAGGCCCACAGGTTGAGAACCATGGCTTTCGATGAGGGATATTTCTTTAAATTGCCCTCTGTCTTTCTTAACTCTGTCTGTCTGTCTGTCTGCCTGCCTGCCTGCCTGTCTCTATCTTTTGTCTATAATCATATGGGCAGGGGAGTTGTTTGTAACTGCGGTGTCCACAGAGGCCAGAAGAGGCCTTGAGATGCCCTGGAGCTGCCGCTGCTCAGAGCCTGATGCAGGCTCAGCCCCGTAGGAATCTCTGAGCGTGCTCTGCAGCTGTGTGTTCTGTGAAAGTCACACGCATGACTGTTGTGTGTTTCAGCCTTCCCTTCTCTTTTGATTCCATCTCTGAAGCCTATAAGCCTGTTCTTTTAAAACTGAAAACAAAAGGACAAAAGCATGGCAACCCCGCTGCCCCCTGCCTTCTCTCTGTCTTTCCACAGGGTTTTCTAGGCAGCAGCTGCAGTGCTGAGCATCATCTCTCCTGACAGCAGCCGCGCTCTTTACGCCTGGTCCACACTGATGCCCCTTCCTTAGTCTCGCTAGTTACACGGAGTCAGCAGCTTCTGCCGTCACCGTGTGGTCCCTTGTTTCTTTCTGAGATTCGGTCTTACTGCGTCGCCTCTGGCCTAGAGTGACGAGTAGAGAGCCTGGCCTCGAATGTGCTGCCTGCCTTTCTTCTGCGCCCGAGTGCTAGGACTACAGGCGCCAGCCACCATGCCCCGCCCACAGTGATTTTTCCTTAGATCATCTTGGTAGCGTTTCCCATCTACTCCCTGCTTGTCAGTCTTTTTTTTTTTTCTCTTTTATCACCTAAAATTCGTTGGCTTGTCACACACAAGGTGTGGCAGCAAGTGACAGGCCTGGTGCAGGGACAGGAGGCTAAGAGCTCACACTGTACATAGGCAGAAAGCAAACTACAAACAGGGCAAGGCTTTGGGTGACATGCTCCCTCAAGCAGCACCGCGGAAGGGTACCAGTTGTTCAAACCCCAGAGCCTCTGTGGGCCTTCTCACTCAAACAGAGCACTTGTAATAAGAGCCAGGCAAGTGCTCCCGCCGCCCGAGAGCCGTGGCTCCAGCCAGGGTCCCCTTAGAATTATCACTTTGAAGACGGATGTTTTGTTCCTTACAGCATCTTTTCTGCTTTTCCTGCGTACCCACGCGCATAATAGTGGACACTCTTATTTTACTGAAAGTAACACCCGTTTAGCTCTCTGCTTTTTGTGGAGATGGACTAAAAGGGCTCTAAGCGTTGGTGAATAACAAGATGGAGGGATGTGATGCGGGCCTGGAGCGCCTTGCAGAGGGCCGGAGTTTGGGTTACAGCATCCACAATAGGTAGCCCAGCCCCTTTGACCGCCCTGGGAGGAGGGAAGCCACGACAAGTGGGAGAGAAGCTGATTTGTCAGGACCACGCTGAGGCGTCTCCCGGCTCTTGCTTTGCAGGCATCACCGCAGACGACCACATGATGAAAGTGGAGACTGTTCACTGTAGCGCTTGCAGCGTGTACATCCCGGCCTTTCACAGCTCCGTGCAGCAGCACCTAAAGTCTCCCGACCACGTCAAAGGGAAGCAGGTAAGCTTTTAATCTCCGCATAGAATTCTTGAATTTCACCAGCTTGTTATTTTCCGCTGGCTGTTGTGTTATACGTTGTCGTGTTAGTCTGCAGTTTGAGTAGCTACGTGTCTGCTGGGAGGCAGCCGTGTCACAGTTGAGGCCATGGGCTCAGGGGCAAGGCTTTCTGGGTTTGAATCCCGGTGTTAAAGAAGTCCTTGTGTAACTGTTCTTATCTGTAAGATGAGACTGACACCATTCTTTTTTGCTTGAGGGTTCAGTTGACTAACATGTGACACTTAATAAAACGGTGGCTGGTAATAATAAGCATTCAGAAAATCATAGTTGTTAAGCAGTTTCTGTTATTTTTTTAAGTTGCTACAAAATGGTTTTGTGAGTATGTGTGTGTTAGAACAAATAGGAAAGGGAATTTTTATTATGACTGGCCTATTTTTCTGGTAGTTGGAGAAAATACATTTGAAAATGAAAAGTTAGCATTTATTACAGCTGGTTTGGGAAAATGCATTTAAAACTAGTATCAGCCCTTACTATATTTGCTGTGACTCTGGAATAGGAGCTCCCTGCACAGCTCACTGCCTCGTGACTTTACTGCAGAGTATCTCTGCTCTTTATGCCCGCCTTTATCTAGCTGACTTTACCTCAAAAAACATGAGTGCTTATGTTGTAGGAAATGTGTTCTTTTGTACAATGTATTTGAAGTCTTAAAAATTAACGATTTAAGTTTAAATTGAAATAGAAGAGATTTGAGTCTTAAATTTGTGTTTTGTGATGAAGTGGTGCTCACACACCCCAGACCCTTAGGCACACTCTCAGCCATGTGTCTTGCTTGTACACACTATATTACCATTTTTCCTCTGTATAATACTTGTTGTGATAACTTAGAAACCTTGAAGCAGACTGATTGTTTTGTTTTGATAGTGTGAAGCGTACAGCAAAAAGGATAGGAACCAAATGTCTAGTATACCTAGGAGTGCTGTATTTTTATTGACTTATGAAAGTTCATGGTCTTAATTCTTGAATGATCTAGATTACAAGCATAACAGCGATAGTTATTCATAGTTTAATTAATATAAAAATCATTTAAATATAGGGACTTGTAAAATACCACTTATGTCTATAAACTTTTCACACCATGGCTCTCTGTTATCAGACTGTGTCCTGTCTTCACAGGCTTATAAGGAACAGATAAAAAGAGAGAGTGTGCTGACGGCAACAAGCATCTTAAATAATCCAATCGTGAAGGCCAGGTACGAGCGCTTCGTTAAGGTAAGACTTCAGACAAAAGCTTCTTAGGAAGTATTGTGTAAGTGAATGGTGATAGAGTCATCATGTGATCCTAAATAAGGACAGAACCACACACACGGGGAAGAGGGTTACTTTCAGTCTTGCTTAAGGTAGCTCATTGTTTTCTTTTTAATCCTGGGATCATAGAATGGGAGCAGCGATTCCTTTCTCACCCCCTAGAAGATCAAGGCGTTAGCTTTATTTGCATGTGTGCATGTGAGATTGAGAACACTTCCTGCGATGGCTTGCATGCATGCATGTGGATGCCAGAGGTCAACCTTGAGTATGTCACCTCAGGAGCCATCCACCTGGTTTTTGAGACAGGGTCTGTGGTTGGTCTGAGGCTTTCCTGTTTATCGAGGTTGCTGTTTCTGCCTTCACAACTCTGGGATTAACAAACTTGTGTAGCCCTGACTGTCCTGGAACTCACTCTGTAGACCAGGCTGGCCTTGAACTCAGATCACCTGCCTCTGCCTCCCAAGTGCTGGGATTATAGGTGTGCACCACCACTGCCCTAATCCTGAAGTGCTTCTTATTAAGCTTCTACCTGGCAGTTTTGATTCAGGAGGTCTGAGAGTGAGTAGAAATTAGGATTTTAAGAAAGAGCTCCAGTACCTGACAGCTTTCACTGTGTGCTTTTTGTCAACTTGATGGGAAGCTGACTCTAGAAACAGACTCTTGATAGGAAGCTGAGTCTAGAGACAGGATCTTGATAGGAAGTTGAGTCTAGACACAGGATCTTGATAGGAAGTTGATTCTAGAGACAGGATCTTGATAGGAAGTTGACTCTAGAGGCAGGATCTTGATAGGAAGTTGAGTCTAGAGACAGGCTCTTGATAGGAAGTTGAGTCTAGAGACAGGATCTTGATAGGAAGTTGAGTCTAGAGACAGGATCTTGATAGGAAGTTGATTCTAGAGACAGGATCTTGATAGGAAGTTGAGTCTAGAGGCAGGATCTTGATAGGAAGTTGAGTCTAGAGACAGGATCTTGATAGGAAGTTGAGTCTAGAGGCAGGATCTTGATAGGAAGTTGAGTCTAGAGACAGGCTCTTGATAGGAAGTTGACTCTAGAGACAGGCTCTTGATAGGAAGTTGAGTCTAGAGACAGGATCTTGGACAGCTGCTATGGCTGTGACTCCCAGGTCCACCATGTTTTTAAAACTTAAGATTATCAGTGATCAGTTATTGCAGTTATTGATGTCCTGGTGCTTGAGAGTTACCTCACTTGGTAAACTACTCTCTGTGCAAATAACAGGACCAGAGTTTGAGGCCCAGAGCCCTGTTAAGAAAGTTGAGCATGGGAATGCGTGCTGTTTTTTCAGTGCTTGGGAGGTGGAGATGGGAGCATCCCTGGGGCTCTCTGGTGGGCTGGCCTAGTCTAATTGGCAAATGTTAGGCTAAGACACCCTGCCTCAAAAGTCATGGTGCACAGAGGGTCCTGATTAGTGACACCAGAAGTTGTCCTCTGACTTCCACAGAAATTAAAGTAAAAATCTTGACATTTTGAGTGTTCTAATTTATGGTATGTAAAATAACTAAAAAATTATATACTCACATTGGAATGAAGTAGATAACTTCAAAATATTTCATAGTTTTGTCACTAAGTAAAAAGAACTTCAAATATGTATTTCCCTGATATAGCAAGTGTCACTGATAGAAACACACGTGTTGACTGTAAATGTCAATTTCTCTTGTTTAGGGCGAGAATCCTTTTGAAATTCAAGATCGTCCCCAGGATCAGCAGATAGAAGGAGATGAAGAGGACGAAGACAAGATCGATGAACCCGTTGAAGAGGAGGAGGAGGAGGATGACGATGACGGAGAGGAGGCAGAGGAGGAGGATGAAGTAGAGGAAGGAGGGGAGACAGAGGAGGTGGAAGGGGAGGAGGAAGGGGAGGGAGCCGGAGTGGAGGAGGGAGAAGGAGACATAGAGGGAGGGGAGGGAATGCCGGAATCAGGGGAGGATGAGGACAGGGAAGAGGAAGCAGAGGAGGAGGAGGAGGGGAAGGAGGAGTCTGCTGGCTGTCCTGCTGAGCAGTGTGAGCAGTCGGGTTAGTGTTGAGCTTGAGTGGAGGAGCCAAGCCTTACCCTCTGTCCTACTGTAGAAAAGGGAAGACGTTTAGTAGCTTATGATAATGAATTGATACCATGTTGCATGCATTCCACATAGAAAATTTGTTTTATATAATTTCTAAATGTTTGCACTTGTTTAATAAAATGAAGTTCAGATGATTTCAGTTTAGTTTTTATAGATACCAAACTTAGATATGATAAATTGTTTGTATGATTTTTAAGCTTAGTTTTTATTACTTATTGGTGTTGAGGACACAGATATGTATTGTTCCTCTATCTGTTGTGATCATTTGAACTTAAATGCTGCTCTCGGAGGGAACCTTTAAGTGTGCATTCAGTTTTTGAATACTTACTCTAAGAAGAGAAGGATGGGGCAAGTATTTTGTCCAGATTGTGGGTTTTTGATTTGTTTTTTTTTTAACATTGAATAGCAGTTAGCTTAAGATGGCTTAACAACTTTTGTGTACAGTTACCTTTGTAGCAATAAAATGTTTTCTTTCTTTTTTAAAAACTTTCTCCTTTGATGGCAAGTTAAACATTTCATCAATTAAATGAGTATTTAAAAATCAGTATCTGCCTTAATGTATGAGTTTAGCTCACAAGTATTTCAAGTGATTGAGAAGACTTGAATTAAAACATTTTTCCTCAATCATATTTTTAAAAAGTGTGACTACTGTATATTTTCTAAGATATTTCAGAGGTCGCTCTGTAACTGATCTTGTTTATACTAGCTTTAGTTTGTTCTTTTCTCTGTGCCTATGTCAAACCTTGGAATCTGAAAATACAATTTAATACAGATAATTTGTGTTCCTTTGTCGTGTCTATTTTGCCTGGAGAGCCAAGAATCAAGCTTTCTGGTTTTTTTTTTTTGTTGTTGTTGTTGTTTGTTTTTTTTTTTTAAATAATGAATTGTTTCTCCTTCACTCTTTCAAATACTTTCCTTTAAAAACAAAATAAACTGAACCTACATACATATTCATCAAGAGGACAGGAGACTGGCTGACTTTTTAAAAAAATATTTATTTAAATTAGAAGCAAGCTTGTTTTACATGTCAATCCCAGTTCCCCCTCCTTTTCCTCCTCCCCTGCCCCCTACCAGCCCCCTATCCCATTCATCCTCTTTCTTCTTCCCAGGGAGGGTGAGGCCTTCCATGGGGGATCTTCAAAGTCTGTCATACCATTTGCAGCAGGGCCTAGGCCCACCTCAGTGTGTCTAGGCTAAGAGAGTACCCTTCTATGTGGAATGGCTTCCAAAGTCCATTCTTGTACTAGGCATAAATACTGATCCACTACTAGAGTCCCCATACATTGCTCAGGCCTCCTAACTGACACCCTCATTCCTGTGCTAGTTTTCCAACTATTAGTCTGGGGCCCATGAGCTCCCCTTTATTCAGGTCAGCTGTTTCTGTGGGTTTCTCCAGCCTGGTCTTGACTCCTTTGCTCATCACTCCAGCAATTGGATTCCAGGAGTTCAGCTCAGTGTTTAACTGTGGGTATCTGCTTCTGCTTCCATTAACTACTGAATGAAGTCTCTAGCATGGCATATAAGGTAGTCATCAGTCTCATTATGGGGGGGGCATTTAATGTAGCTTCTCCACGATTGCTTAGATTATTAGTTGGTGTCATCCTTGTAGATCTCTGGACATTTCCCTAGTGCCAAATTTCTCTTTAACCCTATAATGGTTCCCTCTATTATGGTATCTCTTTTCTTGCTCTCCTCTATTCTTCCCCAACTCGATCTTCCCATTCTCTCATGCCCTCCTTTCTCCTCCTCTTCTCCCCCCTCTCTTTCTCCCAGCTCCCTCTCCCCTCTCCCCTCTCCCTGTGCTCTCAATCTTCTTAGGAGATCCTGTCCCATTTCCCTTCTTCAGGGTACCATGCATATCTCTCTTAGGGTCCTCCCTGCTCCAGACTCTCTGGCAGTGGGATTGTAGGCTGGCACGCTCCTGCTCCATGTCTAAAATCCATATATGAGTGAGTACATACCATGTTTATCTTTTGTGACTGGGTTACATCATTCAAGGTGGTTTCTTCCAGTGCCATCCATTTGCCTGCGGATTTCAAGATTCCATTGTCGTCCAGCCCCCCCCCCCCCCTCACTGAGTAGTACTCCATTGTGTAAATGTACCACATTTTCTTTATCCACTCTTCAGTAGTTGAGGGGCATCTAGGTTGCTTCCAGGTTCTGGCTACTACACAAATAGTGCTGCTGTGAACATAGTTGAACAGATGTCCTTGTTGTATGAATGTGCAGCTTTTGGGTATATACCTAATAGTGGAACTCCTTGCTTTTGTGGCAGACTGATTCCCACTTTCCTGAGGAACTGCCACACCGATTTCCAAAGTGACTGTATGAGTTTGAACTCCCACCAGCAGTGGAGTATTGTTCCTCTTTCTCCACATCCTCTCCAGCATAGACTGTAGTGGGCATTTTTTGATTTTAGCCATTCTGACAGGAGCAAGATGGTATCTCAGAGTTGTTTTGATTTGCATTTCCCTGATGACTAAGGATGTTGTGCACTTAAGTGTCTTTCAGCCATTTTAGATTCTTCTATTGAGAATTCTGTACCCCACTTTTTAGTTGTATTATTTGGTGTTTTGGTGACTAGCTTCTTGAGTTATTTGTATATTTTGGAAATCAGCCCTCTGTCAGATGTGAGGTTGGTGAATGTCTTTTCCCATTCTGTGGGCTACCTTTTTGTCTTGTTGACTGTGTCCTTTGCCTTACAGAAGCTTCTCAGTTTCAGGAAGTCCCATTTATTAATTGTCGATCTGAGTGTCTATGCTACTGGTGTTATGTTCAGGAAGCAGTCTCCTGTACCATTTCATTCAAGGGTACCACCTACTATCTGTTCTAGGAGGTTCAGTGTGGCTGGATTTATGTTGAGGTCTTTAATACATTTGAACTTAAGCTTTGTGCATGGTGATAGACATGGATCTATCTGAAGTCTTCTACATGCCAGCATCCAGTTATGCCAGCACCATTTGTTGAAGATGCTTTCCTTTTTCCATTGTATAATATTAGCTTCTTTGTCAAAAATCAGGTTCGTAGGTATGTGGGTCCATATCAGGGTTTTCAATTCCATTCCATTGGTCTACCTATCTATTTTTTTGCCAATACCAAGCTGTTTTCAGGACTATAGCTCTATAATAGAGTTTGGAGTCAGGGATGGTGATGCCTCCCGAAGTTCCTTTATTGTACAGTGTTGTCTTGGCTATCCTGGGTCTTTTTGTTTTTCCATATAAAGTTGATTATTGTTCTTTCAAGGTCTGTGAAGAATTGTGCTGGTATTTTGATAGGAATTAAATTGAATCTATAGATTGATATATGCAAGATTGCCATTTTTACTATGTTGATCCTACCTATCCAAGAACATGGGAGATCTTTCCATTTTCTGGTATCTTCTTTAATTTCTTTCTTTAAAGACTCAAAGTTCTTGTGATACAGTTCTTTCACTTGTTTGGTTAAAGTTACTCCAGGATATTTTATGTTGTTTTTAGCTATTGTAAAGGGTGATGTTTCTCTGATTTCTTTCTCAGCCCATTTATCGTCTATATATAGTAAGGCTACTGATTTTTTTTTTTAAATTAATCTTGTATCCTGCCACTTTGCTGAAGGTGTTTATCAGCTGTAGGAGTTCCCTGGTAGAATTCTTTGGGTCACTTATGCATACTATCATATCATCTGCAAATAGTGAAAGTTTTACTTCTTCCTTTCCAATTTGTAGTTCCTTGATCTCCTTTTGTTGTCTTATTGCTCTAGCCAGGACTTCAAGTGCAATATTGAAGAGATATGGAGAGAGTGGACAGCCTTGTCTTGTTCCTGATTTCAGAGGAATTACGTTGAGTTTCTCTCCATTTAGTTTGATGTTGGCTGTTGGTTTCTGTTAATTCTCTAGTGTGGCTTTCCTCCAGTTTCTTCATGTGGGCACTTAGTGCTATGAACTTAGTGCTTAGAACAGTTTTCAGAGTGTCCCATAGGTTTGGGTATGTTGTGCCTTCATTTTCATTGAATCCTAGGAAGTCTTTGATTTCTTTCTTTATTTCTTCCTTACCCTGGAGTGATGCAATTAATTGAGCATTGTTCAATTTCCATGAGTTTGTGGGGTTTCTGCAATTTGTGTTGGAGGGCAGAGAGAGGCAAGACTGAGGTGCGGCCGGTCTCGGGGTGGCCCTTTCTGCCAGGGCCGGTCCACTCTAGGCTTGGAGCAGGCCCAGGAAGAGCCAAGGCGGGGGATGCGGGGCAGTTCCTTGCAGTTCTTACTGTCTCTGTCTTCTTTACTACTAAAAGGACAATTTAGCTTCAGTTTCTCAAGTTGTCCTCGTCAGCTACAGTGAGATGGCGTAGAGGTGATCACTGTTGCCTTGGCGGCGGCTGTGCAGGGTATCTGCAGTCTCTCACTTCTTCCCGCATTCTGTTGGGAAGTCTGCATCTGCTGTCTCTGGATCTACAGGCTCACTCTTCACCCGAGCTGCTGCCAGCACAGTTCACGTCACCATCATTTTTGCTGGCACACCACGCTATGGCCGGAACCCCCACGGTTACTTTTCAGTCAGGGAGGTCCTTGTCTTCTGTAAGCTGTCATCTTCTTGGCTTGTTTCATCACGCCAAAGCCTGATCCCTTGCTTTTTAATTTCCTGAAATCACCTCACTGCACCCTGTTTTCTCGTGTAACTACATGTTTATGACTGTCTAATCAGTGTGTTTCTTCCATAGTTACAATTACAGAAAGTTGCTTAGAAGCAGGATGCCAGTTTGATCTGGAACTCTCCTCAACACAGACTCATCTGATGACGAAGCCCTGTGTGGTTTCTTTCCACACTCCATACTGTGCTTACATCTGTCATCATGGAGGCCTCTGTCACTACCAACAACACTATTCCCAACATATTTTACTTTAGTAATTACACTGTGGGTAGTTGGGGTCCTACAAAGCTAGGGACGGTGGTGAATGCAGTTAACCCTGCCTCCTCCAGGAGTTCCTTGGAAGTAACCATATTCATCTCTTTCCATACTTTTCTTGAATTCTCTAGTTTTTGTTTCTAATGACAAAGTAGGATTTTTCCATTTAATTCAACGCAATCCATTTAACTCACCCTGAACAGTTCCTGAAGCATTGAGTGGAGAAAAAGCACAGGTCAGTCTATAGAACTAGGAGATACCGCCTTAGACCACCACTTGTTTTTATTGCCAGGCTGAGAACAGACAAAACCTTTACAATTTTTAAAAAAGGTTTCTTTTTGTGTGTGTATGCGTGTTTTTGTCTGCATGTGTGCCCATGTACCGTGCGTGCCCTGCTGGAGGCCAGAAGAGGCCGTTGAATTCCCTGAAACTGAGAGTCACGAACGGTTGTGAGCTTTCATGCTGTTGCTGGAACTTGAGCCCAAGTCCTCCCCAGCCCATGGACACCTTTTTATTATGGTCTGTTAATCACCAGAAAGCCTCAGCAAGCACCGAGGCTCAAGTTACAGTACAGTGTGCCGAGATTCACCTGGGCTGAAATCTGAACGATCCCTGCTACCGAAGGGGGCAAATGGGAACGATAAGTCCTGTACAAGAGGCTACACAGTTCAATGAAGAATATGAAATACTCGAGTAGACAAAACAACCTATATTCCTGTCTATTTCTCTTTTCCTTTTTGTGTTTTGAGATGGGGTTTCTCGGTGTAACTCTGGCTATCCTGGAATTCACTGGTGAGTTTATGGGGGTCACTTAACTTGAAGGCAGCTGCATCACCAGAAAGCCCTCCTCCCCCTAGCATGGGTGACCCACTCAAGAAATGTACATCCTGGAGCTTCT